TTTTGTTGGCCTACTAATAGTTTGATGTTTCTCATCTTACTTTAGGAATAAACCATTTGAATTCGAGCGAGCTATAGGATTTTTGAAAACAAATGTGTTATGGACTGAAATCAAAGAAAACAAATTCCACAGGCTTAATAGTAAGAAAAAAAAATTGGTCTCTCAACAGAAGTTTAAAACAAGCAGCCGGTCGGCTGAGATAGCTCCGCTGTTAGCAATGCACATTTCAATTAAAGAACAGAAGATATCATTAGAAAATGAACAATATGTATAGTATCAAAGCAATGAGACTTGCTGTTTTCAACAAGGAGTCAAAAATATCACTTTTCACCAAAAATGACAAAAATATTCACCAAATTTAAAGAATTAAAGATATCATTACAAATTGAACAAATCTGAAAGAGGTCCACATGTAGTACCTATAAATGTAATATAAAAGCAATCAGACTTGCGGTTTTTAACAAGAAGTCGAAAATGTCACTTTTTACCAAAAATATTCACCAAAATTAGAGAATTGAAGATACCAACATAAAATGAACAAACCTAAGAGAGGTCTACCCAAGGTACATATACACCAAGTATCAAAGCATTCAGGCTAGTAGTTTTCAAGAAGTCGAAAAAGTAAAACATTGACACGGACGACAACTCATAACTGCTCGACAAAGTCGACAGCGGAGCTAAAAAATTGCATCATGTGTATATATATAACATATGATTTTGAGAATGTACCCCCCCCCCATTGCAAATGGATCAACCCTTACAAGTTGTGTGCTATCGCAGATGGCGCCATGCTTCTAACAGTGGGAACAGCCAGGATAAGACACTTGTTTCATAGAGGTGCTGTGGCAATGTTCTAGGTTTACACGTTTTGTCTTCCTCGGACATGTTAATTTATACAGTGGAGAAAGGTTATTCTATCACTCACTTTTTAATATCTTTTTTAAAATCGGCAAGTAACCCCATCGACTGACACAATAACCCAGAGTTTGTTGATCTGAATTCTAAAGAATACGTTCAGAAACATGCACCCATAAAACCATGTTGTACGTTAGTTCAACATTATTTTATTGTGCTAGCGTAAAGCATATACAAAAGGCGGCCATTCTTGGCAAACAGCCAAACTGAAAAGTATAATAATTAGCATAAATACCATAACGATCTGGCACTGTGCCAACCGGCTAAGTCTCTGCCCTGACGACGAACTGTTTGTAAATATGCTTCCAAACACAATTTATTCACATTTGTTAAACTAGTTTTGACATCTCCTTTATTTGCCTTACAATGGTTTCGACAAAACACTCTTTAGTTTGTTAAAAAATTTCAATAGCTTTACTTTTGTTAAACAGTAATTTTAACTTGACAAAATACATACATTGCCTATCTAATTTATAATCCATATTTTAGAAAAATTATTAAAAATATTGGAGCAATAAAATCAGTATGCCTCCCTCCAAATATAATCAAAGGTGCCACTCATCAAAACTGCAGACAGGACCTTTCTTAAAGGTCACCATATCTTGATGGCAGGAAGTGTACAAAAGATCAGTGACCAGACATGTCAGTTCAAAATGAGTTCATCTTTTTTTCCACTTGAAGAGGGGGGGGGGATATGTATTCCATGAATGTGTATGGAAATGTACTATTGTCAAACTCGCACAGGAATCTATTTGTTAAATTGGAATGGCACGTAAGTCAACCTTACCCTTTTACTTTTTGAGCAAATGTACATCAGGTCATTTGGTAGACTTAGGCACCCCATGGTTCATGCAAGGTCTACTGAAGAGTGAAGGGGCGTCTATGAAACCTATCACATTTAGAATTCAGCATAAATCTAGCATGCAAATAAATGAGGCAGAAAGTATACTCGTACACCTCAAAGGGGCACTTTGTTCTCAAACCAACTAAACATAACCCATACATCCTTACCACACTTTCTAATCAAGACTTGATACACAAGGAATATCTTAGACACAAATAAATTTTATTAAATATTTAACTCAGAGTACCATACATACAGCTTAGTTTCATCACAAGTTTGGACAGGTGCCCAAATTCCATTTGGTATACAAAGAGTACAGACAGTTACTTGGGTTTCTAATTTTTTATATTGAGAAAACCAGAATCATGCAATATGGTACGCATAATTTCTGAGCAATACCTGTGATGTCCAACCTTCCGCATTTCCTATCATATTTTTAATTTATAGGCAAATAGGTTCAGAACCAAGGTTTGCTTTCATGAATTCGTTTGACACGATAAAAAATAGAAAATGTAATAAAGATGGGGTACCCCTTTATGTATTTCCCAAAAACAAGGGGTCCACAATCACACTTAGCGTGCAGGAAAGCAGAATTTAGGACCGAGCACAGCACTCATGAAATTAGGTCTATCCTTAATCACAAATTGTGTCTATTGCATTTCCATTTGCAACTCAACACATTAAATAAAGCTGCTTTTTTATACAAATAAACCCTTCAAAAAAAACTCGAAAGGAAAACAAAATCAATTGGTGTAACACGTTGACAGAAAGTATTTTTTACAACACTTATTCTTATAGTATAAATCTGTGCAGCTGCAGTAAATCATGAAACATATAAATTCCCTCCCATTGCCCCTCCCTCCCTCCAAAATGTACTGCACCTAATAATACCCATGATAGCAAAATTGCCCCGGAAATTCAGAAAAGTCTGGAAACTGGGGCACAACTGGCATTGCTACAATTATTAAAAAGATGCTCACAGTAATATTTCCCTCCCTAAAGTTTAAGTTATTTGTAACAAAAATATTTTTTCTGCAATGCACAGCATTTTGAAACAATATATTATGTAAGGACATCAAAAATTAACATTGAGATGGCTGAATTGTAGGCGACAAAAAAGACAAAAATGACTATGTATACTTTATACATTAAAAGAAACAAAGTAAAGTTTTCTATACAAAATCCAAAGTTTTGAAAAGCCCACAGAACTGACAGTTTTTACCTGGCGCAACTACTTGCTTCCAGGAAGACCAGAAAGCTATAAAAAAAATTGTTTCAATTTCTATAGAATTCATTTGAATACTCATTATTTAAGCATATTCCATGTGACAGATGAACCTTCAAAATCTCACAAGATTTAATACAACTTTAATATTTTGCTGTACAACATATAGAGGATTTCATATCAGTTATTCTGTCGCATGGAAAATGCCTTATAAAGTAAAGCTTTCTGGAAAAATACACCAAAAGTACAAAGAAAGAAAAACACCGAAATACATTTTTTTGTTTTTTTTGTTTGTTTTTAAAAAAAATAACTAAATTAGAACAGAAAAATTACACTTCATCACATAACTTGTAACAAATTTTAACATTGTGCATTTTTCCATTCATGTTGTGCATTTAAACAACACTATAAACCTCTCATGCTTCCCCCCATTAGCAGAATTTTTGTGAGTGTAGCTACCAATGTGATTGCCCGAGAACACCTCAGTAGTTCGTACAGCATATCTATTTTATAGAAACATTTTTTTGGGTAGTGTCTTCACACTCTTCACACTTATTTTCAAACTTTTTTTTTGGATTTTTTTTCTGTAACTAAAATTGAACTAAATGTTACAATATTTTAATATCCAAGTTCAATGCTATATATATATATATATATATATATATATATATATATATATATATATATATATATGCATATGCATAGCAAATATTTATGGCAATATGAGAATGAAAAGGGGATATATATATTTACAATGGGGCGGAAATTACAAGACTGTTATGCTCCCGGGCAGTCTCAGTGATGAACGTACCTTTTGTTTGTTTTTTGTAATAAACGTAAAGGCTATTTACAGTGTCGTGTTTGTGAGCTAAGGCAGCAAGCAAAAAGATTCCTTAGGTCTCATTGTCTCTACATTACTATGCCATCCAATGGCAATTAATGAAACCCATACCCCCCACCCAACGCAGAGATTTCTTTACAAAATCCCCCTTTTTCATACAATTTCCAAGCAATGCACCAACCTATTACTGGCACACTATACTAAATGTTGGCACACTGTTTGGACTTTGTAAACATTTATAAATATGTTTTGAAGCAGAGAAGTGCGAGTATTACTCCTCAAAAAAAAAAGTCAATTCTTCAAGCAAATCAAAAAAATACTGTGGGCGTTGGGATGCCAATTTGGCACGAAAATTCTTAGTCCAACTGTAACTATGACTGGTGTTTTACAACCTATAAATATACATCATAACAATTTTCATTACTAACTAGGGCATTGTACTCGTAGGAGAAAACCAAGTGGAGCACATGGTGGGTAAAATTCTAACTCAAAGTCAGAGATAAAGAACAAGGATCTAATAGAATAATTCAATTATTTATAATTAACATTAAGTAAATAAGATAAAGTAGTATATATACATAGAGTGCCAAACTGCCATCCCACGGCGACATCTTTTGTTAAAATTCTAAACATCTTCTGTGCTTACAACTGTGAGCTATAAGGTAAAATAAAAACAACAAAAAATCGTTAGTTTCTGTTATAGGACCAAGTCAACTACACAGCATCTGGTTGAGTCAGTGTGAAAGTAACATCAGACAAGCCTAAAATAAAAAGTCAAACTACATCAACAGCTTTGACAATTCATTAAGTTTTCAAAAAGTAGTTCCCTTTAACCTTCGTTTGACTTTCCATATTTGTGGAATAACTCTTGGAAACTAAAACACATGCGAATGTGTGGTCAGCCTTGCAACTCAACATTTGTCTATTACTTGTATTATTTTTGATCCATTAACTTGCCATGGAATGCAATATCATTTGTAGTATTAGTGTAATGAATCCACATAAACCTCTAACTCAGATGTCGGACAAACTAGATCTGTGCATGCTTGTGATGTTTTTCGGACTACTTTATTTCATGCATTAACAAACATTTGTTTTTAACAGTGTTATTTGTCACCTGATCACCCCAGTGTATTGATCTGTAAAAGGTAGGGCATTTGGTGTAGTTCAAAATGGCGGAATAAACGATATATGTCAACTGTGAAAGCTCTATGGTTTGACATTTTCTGTGTTCCTGAGTCAACCAATCACAATGTACAAGTTCTAGATCAAGCAGGTAATTGATAGTTCCCCTTTCACTCTCACTTTTTCAACACTGATATGCGTAACAGTGCACTTACCGGTGGGTACGTCCTGCCTGGATTGTGCTGATATTTGTCAATCACAAACTGATCTTCAGTTGTTTTCCTATAAACTGGATTGTCAAAATTCATCGAACTTTTTCGTCTATTGAGGTAGTTCCTAATTTTGGGAAAAAGTCATAAATAAATTACTTAATAAAATGCAATTAATTCACAACAAAATATCAACAGAATTTGAGGATAGGGAATAGCAATGCTGTATTTGTTCTTGAAAACACATAAATCAAACATTTATTTTAAGCTGGATCCTAAAAATGTGATCAACTTGCATTGATCAGAGATGTATATCTGTCATTTACGAAAATGCAACTTTACATTCTGCCTACATGAATGCCATAAATTTAGCAAATTGTAAAAATTAAGCAGTTACAAAAGACTGTAATTAGAAACATTTTCTTACCTCCAAAGCACAAATATTATTGCACCGACAATAACGCCAAGTAGTAGAACCACTCCAATTACAATAGCAACTACAGTGCCAGTTGCAATTGCTGCCTCATGAGGCGAGACAATACCAGCATGGTTGTACGTAGTGGGTCTATTGTCGTGGCTAGAGGGTGTTGTTAAGGTATCGTTTAGTCCTGGATGTGGGGTGACATCAGGCATATCGCACGTATGATGATCATCTCGAAGTTTAATTCCCACTGGACATAAACACGTGATTTTTGCAGAGCTTGATCTGATTTGTGGTGCAGCCACACACAGGTGAGAGCACTTGCCGTTATTTACGCCGCAGTGATTAATACCTGATGAGATAAAACAAAGACAGTACACCATCAGGGTATGACTCATTTCATTACTGTTTTTTAACAAAATGCAAACCATTTTATCAGAACATTACCTAACCTGTTCCAATCTGTAGAGAAGTATAGAGAAATAGAAATGCACATACAGCAAAACTTTAAAGATGGTACTCACCAGCTGGTTGTCTCAAAGAATGGTATACATGGATAGACATCGGTGAATAAAGTTTCTCTGTAATCGTTGTTGGATCGCTACCAGTGAACTTGTTAGCTTTGTGGATAGATTCTGTTTCCCAGTCGGTCCAGTACATCAAATCTCCAAACACAGTGATGGAGAAAGGGTGGGATAAAATGGTCTCTGATCTGATAATGTTCACTCTTTCACCTCCATTCAGGTTTGTGCTGGCAATCATGTTAAGTTTGGCATCGGCCCAGAAAATATGGCGAGTAACATAATCAATTGCTAATCCATTAGGCCACTGTATGTCTTCATCAACGAGGACTTGTCGTTGTTGTCCATTCATACCAGCTCTCTCAATTTTTGGTGGTTCGCCCCAGTCAGTCCAGTACATCCAGCTGGAGAGGCAAGACAAAAAGACATTAACATTGAACTCAATCAGTCCCTTTAATATAACAATACTAATATCTACACCAATTTAATCACAAATTGCAAAAATACCACACTTACCCTTCAATTGGATCAAGTACAATGGCTCTTGGTTCATCAAGGTTCTCATCAATAAGTACTGTTCGCTGAATTTCTTCATGACGTTTTTCAAGATGAGCTACCTCAATGGTGTTGGTACCAGTATCAGTCCAATAGATGTTTTGATAAATCCAGTCTACAGCCACTCCATCTGGAGTGTTCACATTCTTGTCGATAATCACTTCTCCTTTCCTCTTCACCACCATCAATTGTAGTTCTGTTAAAATAAAGAACAATGGCATGTTATTTCCATAGAAAGAAAACTGAACTAACTGAACTGAACCAAGATTATACACAGAATGAAAACATTTCAAAGTTTGAAAAAGATTAACAAAAATTACTTGAGTTAACCTGACCAAAAGAAAGTACTGACACTGTTTATCCATATAGATATAAAATAGCTGCAAAAACACTCAACCATACAAGAGAAAGAAAACATAATTAAATTTATTACCCACCTTACAATCTGTTCAGTAGCAACATCAGTCCAGTATAAATATCCCTTTGCATAATCATAATCAAGTGCGACTGCACTGCGAAGATTATCAATAATTAGTCGGTATTCTTTTGTAAAAAGATTAATTTCTCTAATGTCTTTCCTGTCAGCAATCAATAAACGTGGTTCATCTCCTAGTGCTTTGCATGTTCTGTGGTCATCATCCAATTCATAGCCTTCTATACAGGTACATTTAAATCCACCTTTTACGTTCTCACAATTTTGACTACATTGGCCGGGAATGTCACACTCATTAATGTCATTGCAGGTTTTTCCATCAACATCAAGGACGTATCCAGGAGTGCAGGAACAATAATGGGAAATCGGCAAATCATGACACGTGTGGTAGCAGCCACCATTGTTAGTGTCGCACTCATTTATATCTACAAACA